ATTGGTTATTCTTGAAATCTTCTTTTGTTTCTTATACTCAGTATTTAGGGCACATTCTATACAAAACTTATTAATAAAAGGATTAGAAAAGAATATGGATGAATAGAGATGGATGATAAAAATTTATATTCTTATTAGTCAAAATTTTTGTTCAATAGACTTCAAGGAGGTTGCTTGAGATCTTATTAGAAATTAGGAATACTTTTTTGAGATCATTTGAACTTAAAAAGCTAAGATTGGAGAATTTAGGATTTTGGCTATAGTTTTGGTATAAATTTTGAATGATTTGGAGTTTTTATGAAAGAGATATAGACATTTAAAGTTAAGGTGTTGATTTTGTAACTACTATCACTCTTTTGGACATAAAGCATGTATACAAAATGTAATGAAGGATGAGCGACTAAGATTGGAGTAAATACTTTTTTGGCTACATTTTTCATGTATTGCTTGTTGAATTCAAAGCTAGATGGAAGGAGATATAGGAAGTTGAAATCAGTGCTTGCAATCTAACAACAATAAATGAACCAATTTACTAGTGGTTGTATTTTGAGCTATATCGTATGTTATTTGACAAGATTTTACTTAAAAATTTTCAAAAATATATTTTATCATATTACTAAACTTTATATAAATATTTTTTGGCATTGGAATCTTGGATTTTTGAGATATGAAGAAAATAGTATTTGAGTGCTTGTAAATTAGGATTTAGAGCATCTGCTAGGATTTTTAAGATGCCAAACAATCTGAAGTATATTTACAATTTATTTTATTTACAGTAAAGTATAAGGATAAATTCTAAATTCTTTAGAAGTTTTAGAAAATTTAAACAATTACATCAATAGATATGAATTTCTAAAATTTGAGGAGAAAAAATCTTTTGTATGAAAAATATATTTTGAAAGGATTTTGCTACAATTTGGACATTTTATGCAAAGTAAAGGGATTTTTGGAAGCCAAGAATATATATATATATATATATATATATATTAAAGATGGAGATATAGAGCTATGAAAAAATCATGATATAAAGATAGATTTTTGTAAGGAGATTATAGATTTTCTTTGAGCTTATTGAAAATTAAGCTTATCGATAAATTAATTAACTATGATTTGGTATAAAAAAGGATGTTAAGGTATTTTTAGATACTTTAAAAAGTCTTATATATAAATCTTCTTAAATATAAAATATTTTATTAATAGAATAAATTTTGATACTATTATATTTATTTTGCCTCTTTAATAAGAATATATCATTTATTAAAATGCATCTAATAACTTAAAGCTAAACTCTCTATAGCTAGGTATCTAGTATATTTTTAGATAAAAAATCACACCATATGGTAATGGTTTGAAGATCTATTATAATTAAAAGAGCTTTGGCAGCTTGTCATTGAAAATATCTAAGAAAAATAAATTTTATGCAAAGCATTACTAAGGCATATAACCAAAGTGCACCTTTGTTGAAGGTAATGTCGTTATATGCTGCTTGTAAGATCCAAAAATATGAGAGTCAAAATTAGATTTAATTTAGTAGAAATTATTCTAAATTTAGTTAAAATTATCTAATAATATTATATTATTAATAAATTAAGCATTGTATGATCTAATTAAATTTTTGATTAATATAAATAATTCAAAATTTGCCATGCTTTAATAAATTTGTCTTTTCAATTTCAAATCTTAGGTAATATTTGAAATCAGCTAAACACCACTAATTCACCTAATTTCTAAAGTATTTTAAACAAGACGGATATTCCAATCTTGAGTATCTTTATTAAGTCTACTTCTTCCATTGAAACGAGTTAATTCATTAGTCTTGTCAATTTTGTTGCCACCATGTCAAATCCATATTTATCCACTTTTGAATATCTTTATATCATTATGATTATGGCAATTGTACTCATTTCTATCATTATTTATACTTTTGGGCCTCTATAGATTAAATATATTGTATGCTCTCTCAATTCTATATTTATGCTTAATTTAGCTCACTTTAAAAAAATTTCATTCTTCTTTTTTTCTCTTATATCCAATATTCTAGTTCTTTCTTATTCTTCCATATCTTGCATTATAGCTAATATAGCAAATAACTTCTTTTACATTCCAAAGGCCTTCATCACTTGGAAGCATATAAATAATTATAAGTAGTATTGAGAGCATGACTTAGTAAGACTATACAAGTCCAAAACAAATCTAAAATCAAACTAGTCCTACGACTATATTATATAGACTACACAAAATATAATTAATGACTTAGAAGATTTCATGGATAGTCTATATGTTACATAAAAAAACCAATATTTTTATGAAAAATTTGGATAGATCAATACATGCATCACTTAACATAACAAAATAATTAACTAATATCCTCGCTTATATACATAAGATTGAATCAATAATAAAAAAAACTTCAAAAGAATATGAATTATTTAATTTAAGCTATTACTAATATACAAGGCTTTGATAAATAACCTAAATATATAATATTTTAATAACCATTTTTTTTTGAAAAAATATTAACTCAAATCAATTGTAGTAAACATGTCAATTAGGACATTTTTATGGATCAAGCATTTTCAACAGAAGTGCAAAAGTATCAAAAGAATGAGGATGCACATAGTTCTATAGGACTCTTTTTGATGAAATATATCTAATGTTACCTTAATTATCTATGTACACATCATCAAAAATACCTCCATTTGAGCTTCTCTTAATGATGTATTTATTAAGTATTATAGTAGAGAAGTACTAGCTATTACACTTGGTCTCTACCAAATATTAATAGCCTCAAATATTTGATTCTTCACACAATCCAAGTTATTCAAGCAAACTAACTCCAAAAAAATCCTAAAAGGCAAGGACCTCAAATTAGATACCACTATGGCATACAAAACCATCAAGGTACAATAATCACACTATTTGACAAGATCCTCCTTGTCTAATTTTATAAATCCTAATATTTTAGATAAGATACAAGTTGAAGTTCTTGTGGAAAATCCTTCTATTGTACCTTGTTTCAATATTCCTCCTTCCAAACAATTAGAGTTATTAGACTCTCTCTCCAAATAATGACAAGAAAGAATCCTCCGCTTGCACTCTGCTAGGCCATGACTAATCAATTCCTTGATTTTAATTGACATTGTATTGCAAAATTGCGTCACATATATAAAAGAGATTCTTCCTTCTCCCTCACATCTTTTTCTAATTACAAATCCAAGGACAAATTTAAACTAACTATAGAGGATAATATGACATAGGATAAATTAAAAGATAGATAAAAAGAAAATAGAGCTAGGATAAAAGTTGGGAGACAAATAGAGGATCAAAAGCTCAAATAAAGATGAATAGAAGATAAGATGATATTTCTTTATATTTAAACTCAGGACTTAGCACAGTAAAGGCATTCCTTCTAGTTATATAAAAATTAGGTTAGTATAATAGTAGAAGATTAGTGGCGGATTACTTCTAAGTCTTTATTCTTGTATGGATCTATGAGACCCCTTATTGCAATAAAGCTTTCTCTTATTTCAATCTTACTACATGTTGATCTTATCAAATATGATGATATGGAAATAATTGGGAAGAAAAGCACTTGGATTGCACAATAATATACCTCAATCCAGTTTTTGAATTGTTAGAGACTCATCCAAGGGTTTGCAAGGATTTAGTTTATAAAACTTCATAAAACTTCAGTTCTTTGAAGCTATCAAAATACATATAACAATCTTGCTAACCAAATTTTGTAGAAACAATGAACATATTATTAAAATATATCTCTATAAAAGTTGAAGTTAATTCTTTGATTTCTTTTAATGTAAGCAATTGGTAAATCCAGTTTATGTGAGTAGAAGAAAAATAAAATAAAACGTGAATTTCAATGTATCAGTTTCAGCTGTCTACACATAAAGCTTCCAGCTTACCACATTGGAAAAAAGAAAAAAGAAAAAAAAAAAAGGATCGGGTAGTCCAGGACAACAAATTCGAAACTCGGATCAAAGTCTAATCCAATCCGGACATGGAAGGTAGGTTGGTCGAAAGAAAGGTCGGTGATTTGCTTGTTGCTCCCAGAAAGGAAGAATTAGAGCCAGAAAGGAATTCCAGAGGGTCAGCCAGCAAAGCTGAAACCTTTGCCGACTTGCACTCATGGCATTTCAACATTTAGAACACTTCCACTTCATAAGCAAGCACATCGGAAGTGTGGAAGATCAGCCAACACGTTAGATCCTAGCATTCTTTCATAGCGACCACACACCCCAAACATGTAGTGTGTACGGTGGTCTTACTTTATTCAGATATTGCGTATATTCCCGGTTTCTTACCCTCATGCTTGAGACAAGGAAACCACAGTCGGAAGTTCAACTGTAGAATCCTGATGACCTCGGCGAGCTGTGGTCAGTGCCTCGTTGAAGCTATGTGCAAGGAGACACTTTGGTCTAGACTCTGATAACTTGCAAAGATTTGAAAGATGATGCACGTTTTTTAATTTTTCGATTGAATTTGGACGTGTTCAATGGATTCTACTTGAGATCGTGGAAAACTTTGAAACGGATGTCAGTGGACAACTTCAAGAGCTGCAAAGCTTGAATAAAACTTTCAGCTTGCAGCTGCCGCAACTCGTCGTAATGCTAGCCCCTATCTCTTCCAATGTCGGTTGCCTTGTCAAACTTTCTTCCACTTGTAACTTTTAGTGCCTCTTTTTGCAAAAGTTACCAGGAAAAGAACACTCATATGTGACTCATTCATGGACACAATTTTGTATTCAGAATATTTATAGAATTTGTTGCATTGGTCAAATTCCTACCTCACCTGTTCTAGATCTCGTTGTCATGGACTGCTTTTGATTCAAGTTAACAAGTAATTGGGGGGTTGCTCTCGTGATAGGACATGAACTGGGGTATAGCAAGAATAGTGGGTCTGTTGGAAACTTGAGTAAAAGCTCTTAGATTTCCATAGAAAGTTGGAGGGACTCAAGTTGGACTAGCCTATTACGTTCTCACGAGTGGTGGAAAACTTGATCATTATCCCGCCAACATCTCTGACGGTCTTTCTTATTGGAATCCTGTCAAAATACAGCGTGTGATTAAGTAAACCTTTGAGTGAGCACACAGAATAAAATTTACAGTCCTTATCAAGGTGAAAAAAATATCTCTATTTAGAACCAATGACAGTCCTCGAATTGTCTTCACTCGCTTGGTCTTCTTCATTGTCATTAGATTCTGAACCCAGCTCTTTGTAGTCTTTCTCTAGAGCAGCTAAATCTTTCCGAGCTTCAGAAAACTCTCCCTCCTCCATGTCCTCACCAACATACCAATGGACAAAAGCCCGCTTCGAATACATGAGGTCGAACTTGTGGTCCAGCCGAGAGAATACCTCAGCAATCCTTGTTGTTTTAGAGATCATGCAGACCCCTCTTTGCACATGCCAGTAATGATCGAAATAAACATCGGTCTACGAAAGAACTCGTACTGGGACATGACTCAGAGATAATTACAAACATAACTCAAGATTTATCTCCGACATCTTGTACCTTTGCTAAATCTCCACCAGGCACGACTGTAGACCGCTGGTAGTTGATATGACATTTGAATCCAGTGGGACACCAGTCGACAAACTGAATAGTTCGTTTAGTCTTGATTGTGCTTACTGCTTGATTTACGTCCTTTGGGACAACGTCTCCCCGATACATCAAGCAGCAGGCCATATACTTGCCGTGTCTAGGATCACACTTGGCCATCATGCTGCTTGGATCGAAGCAGGAGTTAGTGATTCTTGCAACCGAGAGCTGCTCATGGTATGCCCTTTCGCATGAGGCTACAGGGGCATACAAGGATAGCATGAAGTGTATCCAGGGGTAGGGCACAGGACTGGTCTGAAATTCAGTGAGGTCCACATTAAAGGCACCGTCAAATTGAAGAGACGCAGTTGGAGACGACATCACCTGTTGGATGTCGTGGTTCCGTAACTGGTGGTTCCCCTCATATTTCATTTGCTTTGTAGTTTAGTATGATACATGTAGAGTAGTCTGGAGTAGAAGAGATGCGAGAGGCATTTGATTGATATGAATGGTACGGGAGACCGTACCTGGGTGACAAGACGGTTCAAAGTGGTGTATGTGGGACGCGCAATGTCAAGAAATTTACGGCATACGTCGTAAATTGCCTTGTTGTCCAGCATCACTGCCACTTCTGTATTCTCAAGGAGTGAGTGGGTGGACAGAACGCTGTTGTAAGGCTCTGCGATGACATTGGAGACATCAGGATTAGGATAAACAGTCATTCTTAATTTCAATTTCTTCCCGTAGTCCACTGACAGCCTCTCCAACAGTAAGGAACCCAATCCTGAGCCAGCTCCATCACCTACGGCATAGACCACAAGAAATCCCTGCAGACCAGTGCAGTTGTCTGCCAGCTTCCGAATGCGGTCCAAGCAAGCCTCCACAATCTCCTTTCTAACTAGCATGATGAGAACCAAATCCAGCAAACAGATCCAATTGTTAGAAATGCCACAGAATATCCCACATCCAATGTCAAGTTGCAAATATGTTCAGCTAGTTTGAAGGAAAAACATGGGAAGGTAGAGAATAGAGAACAATGTTGATTAATGAAAAGAGGAGATGGATTACAAAAACCTAATTGTAAAGTATGCTTGTATTGTTCACTATTTCAAAATTAATAATGTCCTTGCTAATTGGGTACTACAATGCCAATTAAAGCAAATAATACTTTTTGTGTAGTTTATCAAATAGAAAAAAAAAAAAAAAAAAAAAAAAAAAACCACATGATGCAAAAATATTATAATTGGACAAAAATACACCATAATTTTCAAATGGACAATTCTTCAAACTTTATAGTTGCTATAAATTTTTTGCCTTAAGACTTTATATAAAAAGTAGATTTTAAGATATTGAGGCTATTAAAGAAATTATGCTGAATATAAAAATTAAAATTTGCAAAGTATTCTAATCAAGACATCTATAATAAAGATAAGACATGTATTTTTTATTTAATGGTATAAGATAAGTTTTTTGTGCTCTAGCAAATTAAAGGATTTAAGATGAATAAAACTAAGATTATTATTATTATGACAATTGTGAAATATAGATATTAGACAATATCCTCAAATTATAAAAAAGTGGTTATGTACTCAAGGATATTCTAAGGTTTGTTTTCTTGATGATTGAGTAGTAATCTCACAAGTCAATAGACAAAATATAATAAGACATATTTATAATAAACTTAGGGTTTCTTTAGAACAAGTTGCAATCACAAGTCAATAGACAAAATATAATAAGACATATTTATAATAAACTTAGGGTTTCCTTAGAACAAGTTGCAAACAGATCAAAATCAAGTCATAGCTCCCCAACACACACTTTAATCAATTTGACATAAATCCTCTTTGAAAATCTTGTTCAAAGACCAGTATTATTGTTTTTTATTTAATTTATTTTGTTTTTTTTATCTTTGCTTTATGCTCAAATAAATTAAAGACAATATTAAATGTCTCATTGGATTGTCAAGATCCAAGTCACCACAATATATAGAACTTAGGTAGTTATATTGCCTAGCAAGTTGTGTGCAACAATTTGGACAACATGTCCATTAATTTCTTTTTTAAGAGCTGACCAAACAATTCCAAGACAAGTTGTTTGTTTAATATCTGTATATACTTAAAGGAATATAATAAACTTAATAATAAACTAAGAGTTTCTTTAGACCCGCTTTCCCACCTCCCGTCTAGTTGTGCACAGTTCTTGCTCTAACACTATTTCGAACAAGGATCTAAAGAATAAACAAGGCTACACCGCTCTCTCCGTAATTGAGCTGACTTAGAGGACGGAGGAGTAGATGGGAGTGCTTCACTGCTAGACAACTTACAAAACTGCAATCGTGCTCCCTTGTTACGGCCTTTGAGCTAATTAGAAGCAATTTCATTATGAACGGAAGATGTGTATGCAGAGTTGCAAACAACTTCGAAAGTCTAAACGAACAAGGTGATAATTTCCCTGTGCAGCAAGCGAAACGACGACCGAAGGACAATCCTGAGACGCCGCTCACTCGAACAAAACAGCCATGGGATTGCAAGCGGAAAACGCCTAATGCAACAACCTCGTCCGAGTTGTAAGCCTTCTTCAACTCCCCCAACACGACGCTGACTACATTCGGACACGTACCTCGGTGACCCTCCGAAAATTGGAAGATGACAATGTCACCATCAATCGTCATGAGAGCCCTGACAACGTCGCCATCATTTCGTGCTAAGCCATGCGCAAATTTGAAGGCAACAGTTAGGCTCCAACCGCAACGACATCGCATCGCCAATGTCTCTCCTGCTATGCATGATCTGTTGCTACCAGATATTACCAGGCAGATTGCCAATGAACGAGTTGTAAAGCACTCAGACTCTTGAATCAACGCAGATCTTTGTGTTAAGACCATGGCGGTTTTTGTACTTACATCACAGCTGAAGGTAATCTAATTGTTTCCAGAAATTGAGAACTAATTAACCATGGCTAATTCTGACATGTATTTTCTAGGTGCATATGGAACCGAAATCGGTAGTTCGAACTGTCAAACAAATGTTCTGCTACAAACCGCAATACACATTTCGGTTAGTGTAGATTATTAAACAATCTACAACCGGATTAATTACTGAAGATTCATAAAAAAAATACAGGGTTGGACTAATTGACTATTATTTCTCACAAGCAGAGTATCAACATAAAAAATTCTGCGTCGATACATACTTCAGTATGGATACTGAGTAAAGCATTTTCTCAAAAACTTATAATTTAACATTATAATTCGACAAAAGTGTGGACAGAAATACCTAGACGTAATTAGTTTACAGAATGCAGAAAAATGACAATCAAGACACCCTCCGGACAGGACTGAAAGATAACAGTGCCCGCACATACTTCAAAAGAAAAAAAATCGGTGGGAAGATGAACTTTTAAGACGTGAACACCAACTGCAACGGCCGTAAAAAGGAATAAACACATGACTTTCATATATACAGATAAATAAGAGCTGGAGAACCCATTTCACATATTTGCAAACTAACTGAAAATTCCAAGTCAATATTTCTCAAATTCAATTGCAAAAAAAATATTAATAATGAAGCAAACAATATTCACAAATGATGACTATGCACAAACGTTTCAACGCCACCGAAGATAAAAACTAATAAACCGAATCTAGTCCCTCTTCCGTATATCAATTCAAAAGGTCTGCTCGTGCACTCTCACAGGCTTTCCTGGAGTTGTTTTCGGCGTCACGTCGTTTTTCATCGTGTCCAACGCTGTCTTCATGGCCTCCTTCGTCTGCTGGACCACGCCGCCGGGCTGGTTCGACTGTTCCCACTTCTCTCCCGCTACTCTGCTCACGTCGTTTGCCACTTGGCCAACCTTTTCGCGAGCAACTCCGGCTGCCTCGCTCACCTTCTGCTGGGTCGCACCCCCCGCGTTGGCGGTGCCCTGTTTCGTCTGCTCCCATTTCTCGCCCATCACATTTCCAGCTTCGCTGGCCTTGTCTCCGGCTGCTCCCGCCGCCTCGCGACTCTTCTCCTGAACGTTCCCAGCCGCGTCCGAAGCGCCCTGCTTGGCCTCCTCGTATCTCTGCCCAGCGACATCACCTGCTTGGTTCGCCTTGTCTTGTGTTGTCCCGGCTGCATTAGAAACCCCCTGCTTCGACTGCTCGCTGGACTGGGTTAGGGTCGTCTTCACATTCTCGTAGGCATTGCCCAGGAGGTTTCCCGCTTGCTGCAAGTAGCTACCGGTGCCTTGCTTGGCCTGCTCGGCATTATCGCCAGCTGCTCCAGCTACATCATTCGCCTTGTCCCGTGTGGCACCAGCAGCGTCAGAAGCTGCCTGCTTAGTTTGCTCCCACTTCTCGCCAGCTGCGTTTCCAGCCTCATCAACCTTGTCCTGCGCTGTGCCCGCGCCATCCTGCTCAAGCATGGACACGTATTTTAATACCCGACGCAATAACAGCGTACCTAAACTGAAAAGGTATCCAAGAGGTCTCTGCAAGCACACGTTCCCTGCAAACCAAACCCTCCCGAGTTGTCATAGCCACGTCACTAGCCCTGCCTGGCGGCTCTGAATCGTGATTCTCAGAAACAGTTCAGATCCAAAACGTGAACCCTGCGGATCCATTTCCGACCATTCCAAAAGCCTACGAAAGCGTTGTTCCGAACTCGAAAACAATCCTAACACGTTGAAAAACACCCCAACGTCTCTCACCTTGGTCGCTTGCTGGGCCTCGCCAGCCTTGCGCTCCCCAAAGTGCTTAGTGTCCTCATACTGCTTGGCAGCGGCGTCCTGGTTGCTGTTGTAAGAAGCCATCTCGCAAAATCGAATCGGATTTAGACAAGCAAAAGAAGAAAGCTCGGTAAGGATATGTGTGTTACAAATAGAAAATGTATGCAGTTAGAGAAGTAGAAGTTGATGCAAGTGTGAGTGCTGGGTGACAATCACAGCTTCTTATATATGAAACTTGGTAGAGGAGCTGGCGATTTCAAGCATTGCAGCTTAGAACACTTGGCACAACCCAGATAACTTAGAGGCTGGCCCACAACCAAATCGGGCAGATTGGGCACATTGGGGTTCCCCATACGTGGCAGCTGGAGAGGGGAGAGCTTGGCGCCCAAGCCCAGCGTTTCCCTTGCACCGGGTTGCTCTGGACACGACAACGCAAGACGAATTTGCAGAGCGTACATGGTACAACGACTTCTGGAAGCTCCGGAGGCCTTTGTCGCGGGTGGTGAATAGTCTGGGCTCCGCATCGTGGAATGGGGTTGGTGGTTCCGACCAGCGGCGTTTCTTCGAAGCGCCGAAGACTCGACTTCGCTCACGCCTCCTCACGCAACAAACTGGAAGATTTTGGAAAAATGTGCTAGAATTTGTTTGGATTGTGTATATATTAGTGAAAACATGTGCCGTCTAGCACGAGACTGCTTCCTCGGAATCCAAACAAAGATCTTTCCACTTGGAAAACTTGTATGAAAGGACAGGCTGATATCTCAGCTTCAGTTGATAAATTTGAGGTGTAACTTGGTTTATGCGATGACTTATTTATGTCCTGTCTTTCTGTTGTCGTTTGTCTCATGTGCGACGTTTTGCTTCTTCATTGTGTGTGACATATGTGTACGTAGGTAACTTCAACATGACATAATGAAAAAACAAAGTAAGCGAGAACACAATGACTCCACTCTCTTAGTTGAACGGAAATTGTTTAATTTGTTATGATAAGCAAAGCTTAGAAGGTATGCTGAAAATTCGTTCACAGGCATCTGTACATCTGTGTGTATGTACGTGTACATACGTACGTACGTACATTCCTCTTATCTGTTACATGTATAAAGTCTCCATCCAAATTTACTAACGAATGTTCAAATTCTGATAAAACCCAACTTCGTTTGCTTCATCTGTCATGTACAATGTTGCGGATACTTTAGTTCAAGGGATTTAATAAATCCTACCAATGAAATGCTTTTGACATAGCTACCTGGTTACTCCATGTACCTTCATTACTCTCATTGACGAGATGCAGTAAAATACTCTACATAATTCACCAACTTGATTTCATTCACATGATCAAATTTTTAACTCTTCTCCGCTGATCCCACAATGTTGCTCCAATTGACCCAGTGTTGTGGTGCAGAAACATTCATGAGAAGTTGAAACAAGCTCGGATATGAGGATCATTCATACAAAACATTCAGGGAATGATCGTCGCAGCTGGAAATTTCGGGTTGCAGTTGCAGCATTTTCAATCCACAAAAAAATCACCGCCTCCGTGAAATCCAACAAAAATGAGGAGTGGCAGCGGAAGAGGAGGAGAAATAGGAAACATATACCGAACGAATGTGAAGCTCATCCCCACCACCTCAGTTAGGTGCAAGCGGCTCGCCTTCATATCTGCACCTTCCGGATAGACTTCTCGGTCACCGAGCACTGAAAGCAGCAACCGTTGCAAGGGACCCACTTGCCCATCTGGCAAACTGTGACAAGTGTCCCCGCTTGCGATTGCTCTAACCCGCCACGTGTCTACCAAGTCATACTTATAACCAGCGCCCTGCGACCTTCCCGAGCATCAGCGTGTTCATCGTGTTGAATAGCAGTCCATCCCAGCATTCCAGCTCTCGGAGTCAGTGCACAAGTCTAGTCCCCAACTTCGCTACACACATCTCTCTTGCTCCTTGCTCCACGCTTACCTCAAGCTTCCAGGAATGGCTTCGTACCAGAGCAACCAGGACGCCGTCGCCAAGCAGGCTGAAGATGCCAAGCATACTGGGCAGCGCAAGGCCGGCGAGGCCCAGCAAGCCACCAAGGTGAGAAACGTGACGCGGTGTGGCAGTTGGTGATTGGGTTGACGTTGGTTTTTGTGGAGTTTTGTGGGAGTTTTGCGGGGCGTTGGCGTGGTGGGATTTGGTGGGAGGGGGGAGGGGGCCATTGGCGAGATGAGGAGATGAGGAGCACGTAGCGTTGTGTAAGCGTGAGTGGGTTTGGTGTCCCAGGATGCTGCCGGAGCTGCCCAAGACAAGGCGCACGACGCAGCGGGAGCGGCAGGCGACAAGGCCAACGAAGCTGGCAACGTAGCCGGGGAGAAATGGGAGCAGACGAAACACGGTGCTTCCGATGCTGCTGGTGCGGCGCAGGGCAAGGCAAATGAAGCTGGAGGCGCGGCTGGCGAGAAATGGGAGCAGGCGAAGCAGGGTGCCGCCGATGCCGCCGGTGCTACGCAGGACAAGGCAAGCGAAGTAGCAGGAGCAGCTGGCGACAAGGCTTCGCAAGCCGGTGACGTGGCTGGCGAGAAGTGGGATCAGACGAAGCAAGCGTCATCGGAAGCCGCACAAGCGGCATCCGACAAAGCGGCGGAGGCGAAGGATAGCGCAGGCGGTTTGTTGCAACAGGCAGGGAATGCAGTGAGCAATGCCTACCAGAGCGTGAAGGAGGCAGTGACTCCGAAGCAGTAGACAGGGAATGTGGTAGAGACGGGATGTGGGTGGAGGGTAGGGTCCTGTGTGGATGTGAATAATGTACAGAGAGATGATTCGATTGGATAATACAATTGTGAGTTTCACACATCTGGATGCCTGAAGTGGATTTGGTGGAAGCGTGGATGCACGTATTGGGGAGGGTTGGGAAGCGAGGTGTGATGAAGAAACAAGCTGGGTCGCAGCTACGAGTGGATGCCATGGCCTGTGATGAGTGGTTACATGTGAAGAGCGCTTTCTTGTGATGTCGGATGCGGAGGAGTGTTGGGCAGTTGGACACTGCACGTCCTGGAGTGGTATTTCTGCCGTGGTGAAAACCCAGAGCATTGACCTTGTTCCTGATCCGTCGTTTCACTCGATTGCGTCTTACTTTCACCTTGCTCATCCTCCTTGTCTTGTTGTATTCACTTGACTATCTCTTCACGATTGTCACCCGATCGCACTAGCTCGGTACCTTCACTGTTGTGAGCATGTGCTCCTTTGAGAGTACTAGCTCACCTCTCTAATGTTCTTATATTCATCTGATTAATCTAGTTCTTGTCAGTTCTTGCCAGTTCTTCTTGAACTTCTTTTTAGATCTCGAGCCTGTATTTCTGTGTCCATGACATTTTTTATGTCCATGACACTTACTGTGAGAATTTTATAATTCTTCTACATAAAGAATGTTGTCATACGATGTGACATAAATTATAGCAGCTAGATGGTGAAGATTAAAGTATAAGATTATTGAAGCATGCATCTAGTCATGATGAGCTTATTGTCTTGAAGAAGTTTGTAAAGTGTGAATTTTTGTGTTGTATTGTAATCTTTGTGAGGGTAAAGAAATTTTGGCTAAAACCAGATGTGAGCTAAAACAAACCCTCTTATTGGTAGTTTATTCTAATTCTCAACTTCTAGTTTTCTACATATTTTATTTATGAGAACTTTATGCTTAAGTTTCAATTAATTCCCTCTTAATCTCTCTAAATAAGACTTAAGCATTAAGATACTATTAACATGTGAAATACAAGAACATTCATATATCATACATACAACATAAAAACTCAAAAAACTTTTATGACTTGAGAAAATAATTTTAGATTTTTACATTTTTTTTTTTTTTTTTGCTTACTTAAATTCTTGCCAAAGACCCCTTTAAACTTGTTAAACTGCCTTCATTAAATACTAGAACAATCCATAAACAACCATGCATATAATATAAATTAAAGTTAAGCTTTTAATTCTTTCATAATTTATTTATATAATTTATATAAACCTTCATCTATCGACTTATTCCTATTTCAATACAATTTATCATTTGTAAATAAATTTTTATATATGAAGGATTTTTCATCAACAAATGAAAACTTATCTATGCCACACTCTCATCTATTATAATTTCATCCATTTAAAAATTTATTTTTGAATAAAATTCATCCTATTGGATTTTTGTCAAACTTTAACTTAATGTCGTTTTATTTTAATTTAGATTCATTTAGCTTACTAATTCCATCCTATTGTAAATATATCCTACTCTAGAATTTATCATATACAAGATTGATACTTTAAAAATTCTAATAGAAGAATGGGATACATTAAAGAGGCCTTAATTGCTATGCCATTGTTGAATAGAAGGCCTGTTGGTTTTCTTCTATAAAGCTTTGAGAAACAATACTATCCAATTTATAAGGTCCTGTCATAGACATATACATTTACTCCAATAGTTACATATATGATTAGATTGAAGTAAATAAATATAGATTAATTTCATAATGTCTTCTAGAAAAGCTTCTTAGAAGCTTCATAGATACAATTTTGACTTTAGATGTATTCAAAAGTTAGAAACTTGGCCAACAAGTTAATCATATGTTGGTAGCTTGTGGAATAAGTTAACTCCATATAATAACTTGTGGAACAAGCTAACTATGTAATGCATACATAGATAACTTGCCTTGCAAATTATGATATTTAACTAGCATAATCAACACATATTGGAGGCTCTATAGAATATTGCCACATTATTGTATTACATGTTGACTTGCTTGGGAATGCACCAGGCACCTAGCTGTGGAAGGTGAGGTTGTGTTTCACAAACATCCAAAAAATCCTAATAGGTTTCACCCATATGAAAAGAATATAATATAAATTTTGATTCAAAATTATTAAAAAATAATATTTTTAGTAGCTCCAATCACACACAAACTTCAATTACCTTGTTACTTTCGTATTTAAGCAATTTAGTTTTTTCTTATAAGCCCCAATTCTAATTAATGAGCTTTAATAGGCTGTAACTTCTAATTTGATTGTCCACTTGATGTAGAATTTTGCATGCAATTGTCAATATAAGTCTTCTATAAGCTTGAGAATTTTCAATCCAATCCAACTTATAGATTGTGAGAGAACCTCTAAAAAATGCATTGATGTCACTCAGCCACCAATTTGAAAAGTGAAGCAAAAATCCTAGTAGTGATTTCTCCTTCTTTAACTATTAATTTAGCT